TATTATACTTAATTTAAACGGGTTCTCTCTTTTTCGAGCTACTTGACAGATATGTGACAGAGATCAGTGACGTGAGACGTTAATTTTCTTTGACCCATCAAATGAATGCGGTCATTTATTAACAGAATCAAAGTTTAACATCAACCATTGTACACGTGATTATTCTGATTGAAGCAATAACACAGCTTAATTACAACAGACATTTATGAAAATATCTGGATGATTTACTGGCAAGATAGAAGAGTTTTAAAGATGGGGAATGAAGGAGTTAAGTGGAGAGAAAATGTGTGTGAGAAATGTGTGTTGAAGAAGAACGACAGCACTCTCCATTCGAACCCAGCTTTCCTCGGTACACTTGCAGTTGAAGATCGACTCTTTACCTTGGCAGAGGATAATTCCGACTTCGGTGTAGAGTTGCCTTTCAACGCTTTTCCAGCGTCTCCGTAGGATGGTTGGAAAACGTCCGGAGTAGTGACGGTGCTTCGTTCACACCACGCTCACCTCTCGGTTGGACTCGCATGAGCTGTGAGCCCGTCAGATTTCCACTCAGATGTGGAAGATTCCATAATTCCCACAAGACTCGGAAGAACTTCGGATCATGTCTGGAACCTCCTGTTCTCTCCAGCAACTTTTCTGTTCGGTTCTGCCCTCCGAACTGAACTGCTCTCCCACCGCACTGGTTGGAACTAGGAAGTATCGACATTTAAAGAGTTCTGTTTCCGGTTCATTTGGGAAGTCCTGATTGGCTGAAAGAGCTAATCAGGGGTGTGTTTTTTATGACGTAAGAGGTCACTAGAAGTCAGAAAAACAGAAAAATGTTTTGGAACAGACAGAAAATGTTTTTGAGACAGACAAGAGAAATGTTTAGGCGAGTTGGGAGGAAACAGGTGCCAGCTTCTCTATTTACGTCTGAGAGGATTTAAAAACATGACAGTTCGTTCCAACAAACTTGTTTGCGTTTGTCTCCGACGTTTGACCGACTTACAACCTGCTCATTTCAGAAAGAAGATCAAGAAAATGAATAATTACTCTGTAACAGACATTAACTAGATTTCTACTTTGAATGAGGATTAAAAATCATTAATACTGTTTCACAGTTGATTTAAAATGAGTAGTTCACTTCAACATTTAAAATGGTTTGAACTAAACGCACTTTGATTATCAAGACATTTGTAAAATAGTAATGATAATAAAAAAGAGTGTTCTTTCAATTGATCAGTGCAGGACACACTTAGAAAGTCTCTGGATGGACTTGATTTTGTGTTTCTGGACTCAAATCAATGAAATAACAGTTCTTGTCCCAGGAAGGCCCTCAGGGCCAGATTTGACCTGAGGCTTAGTTCACTACACACGGCTGGAACAGTGGGTTGGGATCACAGGTGCTGCATTAAAATGGTTCTGCTCATACCTGAGTGGCAGGAGCTTCTGTGTCAAGGTTGGTAATAATGTATCCGCCTCATTACCTCTTTCTTGCGGAGTCCCACAGGGTTTGATTCTTGGACCCCTTCTGTTCTCACTTTATTTGCTCCCACTGGGGTCCATCCTGAGGAAACATGGTCTTTCATTCCATTGCTATGCTGATGACTGCCAGATCTACCTGCCTGTGAAACCAGCAAGTGTTTGCTCCATCCACCCTCTGTTAAAATGTCTGGACGACATTAAGGCCTGGATGGCTTCAAATTTCTTAAGTTTTAACAATGAAAAGACTGAAGTCATTGTCTTTAGCCCTAGCTCAACTGCTGCCACTGATCCTGTCAACCTGGACTCTCTTCAGCCATATCTGAAGCAGTCTGGTAAAAAGCTGTGACCGGCTCTGTTAAAGATGAAGTCCCCCACAGCCAACTCAGTTCGGTTCTGGACCAGTTCGGGGGACACAGGTACACTTCCCCCACACCAATGAAGACACCACGAGGGATCAGTCCAGTAAAAAGCCAGCAAAATACCACCAAGCAATTCTTGTCTTAACCAGGTAGAACCACAAAGGTCCAGATGAGAAGTTCGTTGGGGTCCAGAGAGAAAGAGTAAAAAACACCGGACCTTCGTGCGACGACTCCCCAGCACGAGGGGTCACCTGGCCGGCAGGGTACCCTGAGAGTGACCGGTGGGGTGGGAGCAGCCGGTCCTGGACCTAAATATACTTTTTTTGGGATAGTCCCGTCCGGCTCTCTGAGTCACTGAACACTGAATTCGGTTGGAAGGGGGACCAACTTTAGTCCAGTTTGAAAAAAGGGTCAGTTTGATGATAAAAGACTGCAGAGAAGCCGGGGGAGCTGCCGTCTATCAGCTTACCGGAACCGGAACTGGGATAGATAGAAATAGTAGATAAAAATAAGTATAATAATAGTAAATAGAAGATAGAAATAATATCATATGAAAACTATTCAATTTTAACAATTTGTTTAAGGAAATGAGGTCAATTTGTCCTCTAGTAGTCTAACCTTAAGACAGCATGACAAGCCGACCCTAACTATAGGATTTATCAAAAAGGAAATCTTCAGCCCAATTTTGAAACTGGACCCTGTGTCAGCCTCACGGACAGGATCTGGAAGTTGGTTCCACAAGAGAGGAGCCTGATAACTGAAAGATCTTCCTCCCGTTCTGCCTTTGGAAACTCTAGGGATCGCAAGTAAACCTGCAGTCTGAGAGTGAAGTGCTCTGTTAGGAAAATATGGAACAAGAAGATCTGTAATATAAGATGGAACTAGGTTGTTAAGAGCTTTGTAGGTTAGAAGTAAGATTTTGAATTCAATTCTGGATTTGACAGGGAGCCAATGGAGAGAAGCTAAAACTGGAGAGATATGATCTCTCCTACTAACTCCAGTTAAGTCAGAGTCAGAGTTTCTTTATTGTCATTCGCACCCCATGTGGTACATGTGGTGGAGTGAAATTATGTTCACAGGGTCCCAGTTACATCCAACAATAAAATGTATAAGAAAAACAGTAATAACATCTAAGATATGAACTAAGAAAAACATAAACTAAAATGTACTAAGCACTAATAGCATAAAAACTATGTCGAACAGCAGCACGAACATGAGCATGAGTCTGTGTGAGCAGATGAGCACGTATGAACACAGCAACCTGAAACAGATCAGCAGCAACATGAAACAGATCAGCAGCAACATGAAACAGATCAGCAGCAACATGAAACAGATCAGCAGCAACATGGTGTGATTTTTCACAGTGATTATTCTGGTTAGAGATTCATGAGTCTAACAGCCTCAGTGTAGAAGCTGTTCCTCAGTCTAGTGGTTCTACACTTAATGCTCTTTAACCTCCTTCCTGAGTGGAGCGGGACAAAAAGTGTGTGTGCTGGGTGAGTGGGGTCCTTCATGATGCAGGTGGCCCTCTTCCTGCATCTGGAGGTGTAAATGTCTGATGGTGGGGAGGCTGACTCCAACGGAGACTTCTGTGCAGCCTTCACCACTCTCTGCAAGACTCTGGCAGCAGCATTTTGGATCAACTGAAGACGTTTTAAAGAAGTATTTGGACACCCAGATAATAAACCATTGCAATAGTCCAGTCTAGACGTGACAAATGCATGGACCAGTTTTTCTGCATCATTTTTAGATCAGACATTTCTAATTTTAGTGATATTACTCAGATGGAAGAAGGAGGTTCTAATAAAATTTTTATTGTGGGGGATAAAAGACATGTCCTGATCAAAAATAACACCAAGATTTTTAACATTAGAGCTGGAGGACAGATTAATGCATCTAAGGAGGGAGAAAGACTGAAACATTCATTCCTCAGGTGCTCAGGTCCAAAAACTAAAACCTCAGTCTTGTCTGTTCAACAGGAGAAAATTAAGGGTCATCCAGGTTTTTGTGTCTTTAAGACGTGCTTGTAGTCTAAGTAGCTGATTGGATTCATTTGGTTTAATGGACAAATATAACTGTGTATCATCAGCATAACAATGGAAATGTATCCCATGCTGTTTAATAACTTTAACAAATGGAAGCATAAAAAAGGTAAAGAGTACTTGTCTAAGCACTGAGCCCTGAGGAACTCCATGACTAACTTTGTTGTATGAAGAAGATTTATTATTTACATTTACAAACTGGAATCTATCAGATAGATATGATTTAAACCATTTCAGAGCTGTTCCTGTAATCCCAATATCATAGTCATGTCTCTGTAGTAAAATATTGTGATCAACTGTATCAAATGCAGCACTGAGGTCTAACAGGACCAGTAGAGACACAAGTCCATTGTCTGAGGCCATGAGAATATCAGTAACTTTCACCAGTACAGATTCAGTGCAGTGGTGAGCTCTAAACCCTGACTGAAACTCTTCAGATTATTTCTTTGCAGATGATCACATAATTTTGATTACGTATTTCAGTTTAAGCATAATTTATATATATTTATATATATATATTTATATATATATATATATATATATTTATATATATATATTTATATATGTATATATATATATATATATATATATATATATATACATACATACTTATTACTATACTTACTACTTATACTACTACTACTCCTTTGTGATTTTTCACTTATCATGGGTCTTCAGGGTATGGATCCACCGTGATAAACGAGGGACTACTGTACATGTTTGATTGTCAAAACCTTTGGTTACAGGTGTGTTTGAAAAGCTGGATCACATGACTCGACAGAGTCTGTATGCAGACTGAGGACTGTGGAGATGTTCCAGAGCTGACATGAGTCAGATCTTTTCCTCTGTGAATCATCATATGGGGGCCGAGATGGTGTAGAGGCAGGGCATCCGGCTTGGGACCCAAAAGTCCCAGGTTCGATCCCCAGTCACTGCACATCACGTGGTGTCTTTGGGCAGCACGTCTCATCCCCAAAAGCCTCCCGGGCGCTTTCAATAGCTGCCCACTGCACCTCCTGGTGGTGGATGGGTTAAATGCAGAGACTAATTTCGCCATTGTATGGAAACATACAGTGCTGACATTGTGATGACATTATTATTATTATTATTATCATTCTGCTTTGTTCTTCCTCCTCAGCACTACAGAACTCAGACGTTTTTGGACAACCTTCCAGGACCCATTCAGAGTTCTGCTGTAGCCAGCACCAGCTCCGCTCCTCTTTCCTCCACCAGCCTCTACAATGCCAGCAGCCACACTGCCAGTTCGATCCACGAGACGCAGGTCATTACTGGGGGCCGAGGGGCCGACAGCAGCATATCAGAGATCATTTCTCTGGACTGAGTCACAGTTCTCTGGACCTTCTTGAAGCTTGTTTCTAATGTTTTGTACCATGGACTGTGTGTTTTACACAGCAGACCTGAACATTTTCACAATAATAAAATTATATTCAGGCCCATTTTATTTCTAATCTATTATTAAATTGTCCAGTTGTTTTCTTTTGTTTGCCCTTATTAAAATGAAAGTATGAATAATTAGTACAATATTCATGTTTTGTTGTTGTTCCAAACTCCAACACACCTTTATTTCTTATGATCGTCTTTGTAAGGTGAGAACCTTAAAATATAATGGAAATTATTCAAAAGCTGCATTCAGACTTGCACTAGCATGAGTCCTGGTCGATCTGGTCTCTGTTTTTCAACTGACCCACCTGACAAGTCGATCCTAACTGATCTTAGTTACCTGTTCTGCCACAGTCTGTTGAGCAACAGGTTGACTGATCTTTCTGTAAAATAAACAGTCAGTCCCTGAAATATATAATTCAGTGTATTTCTATAGCTCCAAGTCCCAACAGTTGTCTCAGGGCACTGTGCAAAACACTTAACATGAACATGTTTCAGATTAGCCTCAGACATATTGTTTCCAGTAAAAAAAATAAGACAGGAGTCTGTAACCTTACAGATACAGTGTGAGAAGTAACTAGAGTTTCCCTTATTGTGAGTGACGGCATGAATTGTTGTTCCCCTTGTTCGTCTCTGTCCCTGTGATGGACTTGCAACCTGTCCAGGGAGGACTGCAACTATCGCCAAATGAGCGCTGGAAGTGGGCACCAGCTGACTGCGACCCAGAGGAGAATCCAGTAAAGAAGATTGATGGATTGGCGTATGATTTCACTGGAGTTCATTGTCAGCACACTCCTGATGACTCCTCGGCCACTTCCCTGTGATCATCAGAACTGTGCCTCGGGAGGTCAGCATGTGACACGACCCTGCTCAGATTCCTGGTGTGGGACCGACACTTCACATTCTACCACTTAGCTGCTCTGCTCCTCCTTAAAGTGGTCCAATCCTGTAAAAACAAAAAAAACTACAAACCAGTTGATTGTGTTTGCTGTCAATTTTTGAATTTCTACCAGTTTGGACCCCGAGACCCACAACAGCTCACAGAACCTGAAGTAGGTACTGACACATCTGCCTCCACAGTTCCAGTTTTTGTTGAAATTTTAATGTTCAGAAATTAATTTTCCTTGATAATCCCTGTTAATTTTATGTTATTTATTTTAATTTGTTTAAAAACTGAGTAAAATGTCTGCTTTGTACAAACAAGCTGAACTGCAGAAACCTGGAACAGAGATGATCTGTGACTTTTTTTATTTTTTTTACTTGACTCCAAGCAAATAAAACGTTTTATATCACATTAGCAAATGTAAAATTTATTCTGTTGGATTTGCCACAAATTGATAAATTTAATCCTACATCACAATTTATTAACTTCTGTTCTCTTTTTTGTAAACTTTGTGTTACATTTTTTTGATTAAAAATTTTATTTAGCTAAATTGTGTTAATCATTGAGATGATTGAAAGGGTTTAATTATGGTGAATAAAAGTACTTTTATAAGTAACGCTTCTAGGACTTATTCAGGAAACCAGAAGAACGAGCTCTTCAGTTTCATTGTTTGAGGAGCAACCTCAGAAACGATACAAACACAATGTACTGCATTCTCTCTTTCGCTCTCAACAAAGGCAGTCGCTCTTACCCTCTCTCCTGCCTTTTTGCTGTCTTGTCCCGTCAACCTCAGAGCTTCTCTTACACCCTTTACTCTCTTCCGAATTGAGAATTATTATGGATTTGGTCAGCTGGTCCCTCAACGCAATTGATAATTTTTTTTTACACCAGACAACATGGTGCTGGAGAGCCCTCATGCCCTGAACAGACCCACGCAGCTGGGTGAGTGAGTGGAAGATGTGCCTATCTGTGATGTTCGTGGAGGACGTAGAAGATGTGTACAATATTGGATTTATGATAACAGGGTTTCTGCTTTTTGGAATTGGTGGATACCTAGGATATCGACAAATTAGGAAGACATCGGCAGCAGTTTCGACCATGGTAAATCTGCCAGCCTTATGTGAAGGATTAATTCATGCCTTGAGCTCTCAGACTCATATGCTTAACGAGCTCAATCGCAAGTCAGACGCGATTTCTGAGAATTATAGGCCACTTGAGGCTCCTGGAACTCGCTGGCATGAAGGATTCGATCTTGGAGAAAGCTAATCGAGCATGGACCAGGCGGAATGTCCATAAATCTGGCTGTTTGGATTCACCATTGAGTATATCAGCAGAACTGAAGGCAGAGTCTGGCGGTCCAAACAATTGTTGTTTATCTGAAATTGGTCTCCCCGCTGGCCTTGGACAGGCCATCTTATCTCAAATTGCTCCTGGAGGATAAACTACAAGTATCTGCCTGCCCCCCTTCCCCCGAGGACAACGATGGCCTTAGAATTGTGACGCTAATAGACACTGTACCATCTCTTCAGAACTTTGGAACTTTCAGGAATGTCCATACTCACCGCCTTTGTCCCCTATGCATAAATGTATATGTTATGTCTGTTTATGATGCGGGCAGCACGGTGGCGCAACTGGTAGAGCTGCTGCCTCTCAGCGAGCAGGTCCTTGGTTCAAACCCCGGTCCAGGGGCCTCTCTGGGTGGAGTTTGCATGTTCTCTCCGTGCATGTGTGGGATTTCTCCGGGTACTCCGGTTTCCTCCCACAGACCAAAAACATGCATGTTAGGCTAATTGGTAACTAAATTGTCCCTAGGTGTGAGTGAGAGAGTGAATGTTTGTTTGTCTCGTTTGTCTCTATGTGGCCCTGTGATGGACTTGCGACCCGTCCAGGGTGTACCCCGCCCCTCGCACAGTGATTGCTGGACATGGGCACCAGCGACCCCCGTGACCCAAAATGGAATAAGCGGGTAAAGATGATGGATGGATGGATGGATGGATGGTAAAGATGATGGATGGATGGATGGATGGATGGATGGATGGATGGTAAAGATAATGGATGGATGGATGTTTATGATGCTTTTTGTGCTGAGGTCATTTCTGATCTCCCCTTTCTTCATGTTGTTCCAGATCGCAAAAGATATTAATTCAATGTTGAATTATTGTCAGAAAAGTTGATTTTTGGTTAAGGTTGACAATTGATGATTTATCAGCCTTTAATCAATCATTCAATTCTAGCCAATTAACACATGTTGAAAATATGTCATTGAATCAATGCTGTTTTGTGGTTGAATTCCAATGATTGAAATGGTAATGTCTAATCCAGTGGTTTTTTTTAGTGTGGGCCACGGCCCCCTGGGAAGCGCTTCCTTATGTAAAAAGGTGGCACTGCTCAAGTGGCTGCATCTTAGGTCATTTTCGCACCAGATAGTCCGGTAGACTCGGTTCGGGACCAATATTCATGAGCTTTTGTTTACATTTGAGCAGGTGCGTTTGCATTCACACTGCACTGTGCAGTCGAGTCAACCTGTTGAACCAACCTATTCCCCCGCTCGCCTGTGAGGGCGCTGCACCAAGAACTACTGAAAGAAACAACACAAAAACCTCTGAAGACACGTCTTCTTCTTCTGTAAATAAAAATAAAAACGAAGTGGCATCAAGTTTATCAGTTTTAGGAGTTATATTTAGTCATTTTTCAAAAATGGACTTAGCATGAGCAGAAGATGAGACAGAAGACCATGGAGAATATTGTTTTTCCACACAAGGCAGCTGACGGCTCCATATGACGTCAGAGAAATGCATGTTTGTTTACCCTGAGGAGCGGGGCTCGGTCTGTTTGCATTCACACTGTACTCGAACCGCGCTGGAGTTCGCTTCTACTGGACCGAGACCTAGGTTTTAGCCCGGGCCAGAGTTCGCCTTTTTGTTCCGTGACAGAGTTCGACGGTGCGTTCACACCGCCCTAAACGAACCGGACTTTCTAGGAAAACGAGCTAGAGTTCGATTAAGGGTGCATTCACACCAGCCCTGTTTAGTCCGCTTTAATATGGACACCGGCAGTGAGGGAGGCTGTCAGGCTGAAGAAGGAGTCCTATTGGGCCTTTTTGGCCTGTGGGACCCCGGAAGCAGCTGATGGGTACTGGCAGTCCAAGCGACATGCAGCTTGAGTGGTCGCTGAGGCAAAAACTTGGGCATGGGAAGAGTTTAGAGAGGCCATGGAGAATGACTTCGAGGCGATTCTGGTCCACCATCCGGCGTCTCAGGTGGGGAAAGCGGTACGCCACCAACACTGTTAATAGAGGGAGTGGTGCGCTGCTGACCTCAACTCAGGATGTTGTGGGTCGGTGGGATGAATACTTTGAAGACCTCCTCAATCCCACCGGCACGTCTTCCACTGAGGAAGCGGAGCCTGGGGACTCTGGGTCGGGCCCTCCAGTCTCTTGTGCTGAGGTCACCGAGGTGGTTAAAAAGCTGCTCGGTGGCAGGGCCCCAGAGGTGGATGAGATTCGCCCGGAGTTCCTTAAAGCTCTGGATGTTGTAGGGTTGTGTTGGCTTACGCGACTCTGAAATATTACGTGGACATCGGGGGAAGTTCCCCTGGATTGGCAGACCGGGGTAGTGGTCCCCCTGTTCAAAAAGGGGGACCGTAGAGTGTGTTCCAACTACAGGGGGATCATGCTCTTAAGCCTCCCTGGTAAAGTCTATTCGGGGGTTATGGAGAGGAGGGGCCATCGGATAGTCGAACCTCGGATTCAGGAAGAACAGTACGGTTTTCGTCCTGGTCGTGGAACACTGGACCAGCTCTACACTCTCAGCAGGGTCCTGGAGGGTACGTGGGAGTTTGCCCAACCGGTCTACATGTGCTTTGTGGACTTGGAGAAGGCGTTTGACCGCGTCCCTCTGGGAACCCTGTGGGGGCTAATCTGGGAGTATGGGGTACTGGGCCATTTGATACGGGCTGTTAGGTCCCTGTATGACAGGTGTCACAGCCTGGTCTGCATTGCCGGCAGTAAGTTGGGCTTGTTCCCGGTGAGAGTTGGACTCCTCCAAGGTTGCCCTTTGTCACCGATTCTGTTCATAACTTTTATGTACAGAATTTCTAGGCGCAGCCAAGGTGTTGAGGGGATCCATTTTGGTGGCCTTAGGATTGCGTTTCTGCTTTTTGCAGATG